GGCACCCCCCCTCCAGCTCCATCCTCACTGACCTGCTGTCAATGCGGCTGTTTCTCTCAGATCTCAGTCCTCTCCAGGTGAATTCAGCCCAGTGGGCACCACGGGAGAGGGGCGCCCCCGAGTTCCCCAGCCAGCTCTGCTGCCACCATCCTCAGTAGGTGGCGCCGGCCCAATGCAGGTAGCTGCCCGGCCAGGAGCCAGGGAGTGGAGGCAGTGCCTTCCTCCCTTCTCTCCTCGCTCCTGGGCAAAGTATCTTTTCCAGTTCCTTTGTCCCGACTTAAATAGGGCAATTCGCAGAGGCGCCGATTGGCTCAACCTCGAGAGGGATGGAAGTCCGATCTGGTGGCCAGAACTGGGTCTGACCCAGTTCCAAAACCAGGGAGGTCACAGGGAGCAAAGCCCCTCTCCTGCCACCAGAACTCTCCCCCCCACCCCCATCAAACCATGACATGGACTTGAGCCTATTGCCAATTGTTGGTGAGGTGGAGTGTGAACGCTATGAAATGTGGTTTTGGGACAGGGAGGAGTGCTGGGTGCTGGCGCAGGAAGTGCTGTTTCGCAATGCAGAGCGCTGTGTCTCTATGGCTGTTAGCTGCCATCCAAACACAGCTTTTGGCTTGGGAAGGGAAAATACTTCAAATAATGGTCTTCCCCCAAGTGAGCATGTGCAAGGGACCTCAGCGTGCTGAGCTCCTGGATTGTTTTAGGAGTTAGCTGTGCCTTAGATTTATGCATTAGGTACAAAAGAACTTGCTGAGTATTTGCAGTACATCTCTCAAAAGCAAACTTTTCCTGTGCTCACATTGATCAATGGTACCTTCTTTTTGCCAGGTGCTCAAGAGCACAAATATGCTACACGTTCCCTTTCCATTAGATACTCAGTTTTGCACAGGAGCATGTTTCTTGAGGAGTCTGTGGTGTGAAAGCAGCTCTGGCTGTGGTGTTGGTGGACTAGCAGATTCTCCTGGGTGTGTTTGTGATGCCTGTGTATGCCTGTCTGTTCTGTGCACACACGTTCCTGTCTGTGCTGCCAAGTAAAAAGAGAACAACAGGGTCATGGGAGCACGGTGAAGCCAAGAACGACTGCTGCATGGGCATGCATGTTAGCCAGTGCTGGCACATGCTGAGACATGGTCCCTATGTTCGCAAGGATACACAGTCACATCTTTCCTCTGGATCCAACCCTGTATGTCAGTACAGGTATATGTGAGATGTTTCTGGATGCCATACTGAGGGACCTTGATAGGCTGGAGAGGTGGGCCTGTGAGAACCTCATGAAGTTCAACGAGGCCAAGTGCAAGATCCTGCACATGGGTCAGGGCAATCCTAAGCATAAGTACAAACTGGGTGGAGAATGGATTGAGAGCAGCCCTGAGGAAAAGGACTTGGGAGTGTTGGTTATGAGAAGCTCAACATGAGCCTGCAATATGTGCTTGCAGTCCAGAAGGCCAACCATATTCTGGGCTGCATCAAAAGGAGCGTGGCCAGCAGGTCGAGGGAGGTGATTCTGCCCCTCTACTCTGCTCTTGTGAGACCCCACTTGGAATAATGCATTCAACTCTGAAGTCCACAACACAAGAAGGACATGGAGCTGCTAGAGTGAGTCCAGAGGAGGGCCACGAAGATGATCAGAGGACTGGAGCACCTCTGCTATGAAGACAGGCTGAGTGAGTTGGGGCTGCTCAGCCTGGAGAAGAGAAGGCTCCGGGGTGATCTTATAGCAGCCTTCCAGTACTTAAAGGGGGCCTACAGGAAAGCTGGAGAGGGACTTTTTACAAGGGCGTGCAGTGATAGGACAAGGGGCAATGGATTTAAACTGAAAGAGGGGAGATTTCGATTAGATATAAGGAAGAATTTTTTCACTAAGAGGGTGGTGAGGCACTGGAATAGGTTGCCCAGAGAAGTTGTGGATGCCTCATCCCTGGAAGTGTTAAAGGCGAGGTTGGATGAGGCTTTGAGCAACCTGATCTAGTGGAAGGGGTCCCTGCCCGTGGGCAGGGGTATTGGAACTAGATGATCTTTGAGGTCCCTTCCAACCCTAACGATTCTATGATTCTATGGAATATGAATGAAGTTTGTGATTTATAATACTTTTCATTAAGAATGTGGCAATTCAAAAAGATAGTTTGTAGGAAAAAGGATAATTTTTTTATAGCAGAAAGAAAAATGACTTTTCATCTGATGGTGATTTTATTTATTGATATCAGTAGACAAATGATGGAAAATTATGATATTTTAATCATGGTGGTGTTAGGAAAAAATATTTAAAAAATTGCAAAATAATGACACTTTTAAGCCTTTTGGATGAGGTGTCATTAGAAGTTTGCCTCAGACTAGGGAATGCTGTATTTGAGTATCTATTGGAAAAAGTAGATTTTTTTTTTTTTTTTTTTCCCCTTTGATTTGGGGACCTTTGAATTTTCAACTCTGCAGAGGCCTTGGAAGGAGTAATTTATTGTTTAATCTGGTTTCTGAAAGGGCAAAGGCATGTTTCATTCTTGAATATCCTGATAGCAGCCCCACCTCTAGAACTGCAGAATGAACTTGATTGCTCTCTGTGATGAGCAAACTGGATCTGTGAGCAAGGGAAGAGCAGTAGATGGTGTTTAATTTGAAGCAGTGAGGTCTTTGATACCATTTCCCATGCTTTCTGTATAGCTAAACTGACAAGATGTGGGCTGGATAAGTGAATAATAATGTGGGTGGAGAATTGGTCAGGTTGCTGAGCTCACTGGTATGAAGTCCAATGGGCAGGTGGACAATAGTGGTATCTCACAGGTGATACATGGCATAAATGATGCTATGAGTCTTTGCCCTTAGAGATGGAGACATCTGAATTGCCAAATCCACAGTAGCCCTGTAAGCGGTCACTTACCCTTCAGTAAGGTTTCTGAAAGGACAAGAGTGGAGTTCAATCCGGGGGCAGCCAGCTGTCAAAAGACTGCTGAAATTGTAAACCATCACTTATGGCTAGGGCTGCGAGAGAGTAAAAGTAATTTGTTTGCAGACAAACAGTAACGGTGTAAGGGCTCCAAAGATTTTCTTCAGGAGTCCAGCTATGGGCTCTGGGGTCCTCAACCAAAGGAGGACATGGAGATATTGGAGCAGGTCCAGAGGAGGGCCATAAAGATGATCTGAGGGCTGGAGCACCTCTGCTATGAAGACAGGCTGAGAGAGTTGAGGTTGTTCAGCCTGGAGAAGAGAAGGCTCCAGGGACATTTTAGAGCAGCCTTCCAGTACCTAAAGGGGGCCTGCAGGAAAGCTGGAGCAGGACTTTTTACAAGGGTATATAGTGATAAGACAAAGGGCAATGGCTTTAAACTGAAAGAGGGGAGATTTCAATTACATATAAGGAAGACCTTTTTAGATCAAGGGTGGTGAGGCACTGGAACAGGTTGCCCAGAGAAGTTGTGGATGCCCCATCACTGGAGATGTTCAAGGCCAGGTTGGATGAGGCTTTGAGCAACCTGATCTAGTGGAAGGTGTCCCTGCCCGTGGCAGAGAGTTTGGAACTACATAATCTTTGAGGTCCCTTCTGACCCAAACCCTCCTATGATTCTATCAGAAACCAGACCTTTCAAGTGATACTGGTGCCTGCACAGTGCTCTGTCATTACTGTGCTCAGCATCACTTGCGTGTGCGCCACAAATGTAGTACTTGTCAATGAGGTCTCAGATGGGAAAAGGCTTAGTGCTGTACTTGGAAAGTAAAGAAGCGTCTTGATATAGCATTTTGGCTAGTGTCATAAAAGCTAAAATGTAAGCATAGCCTTGATAAAGTTTGATTTGGCTCTAGTTCTTTGGTTAGCCTTCAAGGACCTCTTCTTACGAGCTCAAGACCGGTGCATCCCAACAGGTAGGAAGCCAAGAAAGGGCACCAAGAGACCTGCATGGTTAAATGGTGAACTGTTGGGCAAGCTCAAGTGGAAAAAGAGAGTGTACGGATCATGGAAGGAGGGGCAGGCCACTTGGGAGGAATATAGGTCTGCTGTCAGAGGATGTAGGGAGGCAACTAGGAAAGCTAAGACCTCCTTGGAATTAAACCTTGCAAGAAAGGTCAAGGACAACAGAAAGGGCTTCTTCAAATACATTGCAGATAAAGCTAACACTAGAGGCAATGTAGGCCCACTGGTGAATGAGGAGGGTGTCCTGGTGACAGAGGATGAGAAGAAGGCAGAGTTGCTGAATGCCTTTTTTGCCTCAGTCTATACTGCTGGAGGCTATCCTGATGAGCCCCAGAACCCTGAGGCTCCTGAGGAAGTCAGGATAGAGGGGGAGTCTACCCTGGTTGATGAGGACTTGGTTAGGGACCAGTTAAGCAACCTGGCCATCCATAAGTCCATGGGTCCTGATGGGATGC